CAGGCAACATTCTGGTGAATCTGCTCTGCACACTCTCCAGCACAATCACATCTTTCCGATAGTTGATGACCAGAACTGTACACAGTATTCCACCTGTGGCCTAACCAGTATTCTGTAAAGTTGTAACGAGACTTCCTTGTTCTTGTATTCTAAGCCCAGTTAATGAAGGTAAGCATCCCGCTTGCCTTTTTCACCACCTTGTCTACCTGCGCTGACACTTTCAGGGATCTACAGACTTGCATACCAATGTCCCTTCGTTCCTCATTACTCTCTAGAGACCTAATATTCGTTGTGTATATCCTTCCCTTAATAGTCCTCCCAAAATGCATCACCTCACATTCATCAGGATAAAATTCCATCTGCCACTGCTTTGCCCAATTTACCAGCTGATTGATATCAGACTGTAGCCTGAGACCATCCTCCTCAATATCAACAACATGCCCAATTTTCTTGTCATATGCAGATTTATTAATTACTTCTACATTCACACCCAAGTCATTAATGTACATAACAAACAGCAAGGGTCCCAGCAACAATCCCTGTGGTACACTGCTGGTCACAGGCTTCTAATTACAAAAATACTGCTCCATCATCATCCCTTGCCTCCTATTGTAAGGCAATTTTAGATCCGCTTTGCCAATTTGCCTTGAATCCCAAAGGATCAAAAAGGTTGTTAATGTTTGAACGAGCCGTCTATTTGGGACCTTGTCAAAGGACTTACTGAAATCCATGTAAACCACATCAACTGCACTATCCTCATCAATTTAGTCACCTTTTCAAAAATCTCAATTAAATCAGCCAGACAGGATCCCCATCCAACAAATCCATGCTGACTATCCCTGATCAGTCCTGCCTTTCCAAGTATTAATTAATCCTGTCTTTCAGAATTTTTTCCAATAATTTCCCTACCAGTGACGTCAGACTAATTAGTCTGTAATTAGCTGGCCCATTTCTGCTGCTCTTCTTGAACAAAGGGACCATATTAGCTATTGTCCAGTCGACTGGCACTAAAATTTTTTACTATTTTGCCAGGGCCCCAAAAATCTCCTCCTTTTCCTCACAAAGCAGCCTGTGATACATGTCATCAGATCCTGGGGATTTGTGCACCTGTATGCCAACTAAAACATCTAATAACTCCTTCTTATTAATCTTAAGGAACCTCACAATCCTAATTGATATCCCTGGCTACAATGTCCTTCTCCGCCGAATACAGGTGAGAAATTTTCTTTCAAGACCTCATCCATGACCATTGGCTGCACGCACAGGTCCCCACTTTGGTCTGTAACAGGTTCCACTATTTCCTTGGTAATCCTCTTACTCTTAATATACTTATACATACTTATATACTTAGCCTTGGGTCTTCTTTGTTCCATCTGCCAAAGATATTTTGTAGCCCCTCTTTGCCCTCCTAATTTCTTTTATAAACAACCTCCTACACACACTATACTTTGAAGGGTCTTTTCTGGTTTTAACATGCTGTACCTTATATATGTTTCCTTCTTATTCTTTATCAAACTTTCAATACCTCTTGGCATCCAGGGTTCCCCAAACTTGTGGCCCTTGCTCTTCACTCTTGGAGAAACTCGCTGGCCCTGAATTTGCACTATAGAGGTTTATAAAATCATGAGGGGCATAGATAAGGTGAATAGCAAAGGTCTCTTCCCTGGAGTAGAGGAATTCAAAACCAGAGGGTATTGGAAAGGGAAATGTTTAAAGGGGATCTGGGGAGCAACTTTTTCAAAACAGAGGGTGGTGCGTATGTGGAATGAACTGCCAGAGGAAGTGGTAGATGTAGATACAGTTACAACATTTAAAAGACATTTGGACAGGTACATGAATAAGAATGGTTTAGAGGGATTCGGGCCAATTGCTGGCAAATAGGACTAGTTTAGCTTGGGAAACACAGTTGGCATGGATGAGTTCGACCGAAGGGTCTGTTTCTGTGTCGTGTTACCTAAAAGACTCCTACTTTCCAAATGTAGACTTACCTGCAAGTAGCTGCACAGTCTATGTTTGCCAGGTTATGACTAATGCTATTAAAATCAGCCTCCCCCCAATTCTGACACCTAACTTCTTCACTATTCTTATCCCTTTCCATAATGACTTTGAAACTTAGAATTATGGTCACTATCTCCAAAATACTCACCAACTGAAACTTCAAACACTTGACTGGCTTCATTCCCTACAATTAGGTCTAGTACTACCCCACCTCTTGTAGGACTATCTCAGTAGTGGCACAAAAAAATCCCTCTTGGACGCACTTTAAAAATTCCACTATAAAAAAACTGGTTGAGTTAATGTTTCAGGTTCAAAGCCTTAGTGAGAACAACTATATCAATATTTCCTAATAGTTTTTTTTGGATTTATTCTAACTCATTCTATGTGGCACAGATGAGCAAATACCTCTACAAAGAGGAACAGACACAACATGGTCATAACACTCACTTCTCTCCATTATTAGCATAGTTGATGGACTGCAAATAGGGAAGTCTTGTTATGGGCAAGTTGAACGTATGCTCATTGGATTCTGGAAGAATGAGGAAAAATGTATTTTCTTAACAGGGCTTCAATCTTTGAATTCTCTAACTCTCGTGAAGATGAGGCAGGGTGATTGAAAATATTTACGGCAGGGTTAGACAGATGTCTGGTGCCTGTTAGCTGGATATCACTTGGATCAGAAGAACTCCAACAGTATAGGTTCAATTCCAATTCTGTCTAAGATAGACTTGGACCTGCTTCTTTCCCTTGGCCGGACAGTTAAGTCAATAGCAAACCACTGACAAAAAAAAATTGCCAAGGAACCAGCTCGTTGAAACAAAAGCACAACTTTAGGCAGAGTACACATGGAATGATGCTCAAGTTAGCTGATATCTTATTGAATGACAGAGCAGTCTTGAAAGCCAGATGGCCTATTCCTGCTCCTATTTGTTATAATCTTATTGAATGGAAACAAATCAAAAATGCATGAATGGAACAGAAACAACTGCCAGTGAAATGACTAAAATATGGCTTAAAATACCAATTATGAGCAATTGTTTTGAAAGGAGTTGAAATTTAGATTGACAGAATCTTGAGGAGATAAATTTGTATACAGGGTACAGGGCTAATAAGCATAATCAAATCTTTATACTAGGATACAGGCAGTCTGCTATGGTTTACTTCACGACAGTGAGCAAGCCTCAGGACATCACTGAAGGAGTTCCTCAGTCAAAACAAGTCAGAAGTGTGGTTGTTCAATTATAACTGCACAACATTGAATACTATCCACAACTCCCCAGTATATGTCTGCACACAACAAAACATAGACAACATTCAGGTTTGGGTTGACAAGTGGTAAGTAACCTGCATGCCATGCAATGACTATTTCCAACAGGAGACAATCTAACCAACATTCCTTAACATTCAACAGCATTGCCATCGCCAAAATGCACATCCATACACCTTCTGGGGTTACTATTTGGATACCATTCAGAAAATTAACCATAAAATCAGCCATAAAAATACTGTGACTGCCAAAGTAGGCCAGAGGCCAGGAATTCTGCAGTGAGAACTTCCTCCAATCTCCCAAAGCCGTCCATTAACTAAGAGGCACAGTGTTAGATAATGACAATGTCTAACAAGAGAAAATCTAGCCATTGCTTCTTGACTTTCAATGACATTACCATTGCTGAATTCCATACCAACATCATCTGGGGGTTATCATTGTCTAGAAACTGAACTGAACCATAGTCATTTAAATTCTGTAGCTACAATAACAGGTCAAAGGCTAGGAAACCTACAGTGAATTATTTCTCTCTTAGTCCCCAAAGCTAGACGACCATCTACAAGGCACAAGTCTGGGGTGTGATGGGATACTTTGCACTTCCCAACAGCTCCAACAACATAAGAAGCTTGGCATCATCCAGGACAAAACACCTCACCTGATCTCCACCCCATGCATCAACTTAAGACATTCACTTCCTCCATCAAAGATGCACAGTGGTAGCAGAGTATTTGCCAAATGCATTGCAGCATTTTTCAAGGGCCTTTTGTCAACACTGTCAAAATCCACAATTCCTTCAGGCACGGGCTCAGTGGTTAGCACTGCTACCTCACAGCGCCACAGAAATGGGATCGATTCCACTCTCCAGCAACTGTCTGTGTGGAGTCTGCACATTCTCCCCGTGTCTGTGTGAGTTTCCTCTGGGTGCTCTTGTTTTCCCCCTTAGTCCAAAGATGTGCAGATTAGATGGATCGACCGAGCTAAATTGCCCAAAGTGTTCAGGGATGTGCAAGGATAAATGAGTTAGCCATGGAAAACGTAGGGTTATAGGGAGAGGGGGTGGGATGCTCTTCGGAGGGTCGGTGTCGACACGATGGGCCAAATGGTCTGCTTCCATGCTGTAGAGATTCTATGAGAAGGACGGGGACAGCAGGTACATGGGAACACTACCTGCAAGCTCTCCTCCAATTCCCCACACCATCCTGACATGGAAATACATCGCTGTTCCTTCACTGTCACTGGGTCACAATCCTAGAAGATTCCCCCCCTCCCCCCAACACAGTGGGTGCAGATACCGAACATGGACTACACATAGCGCAGGCAGCTCCTCCACCACCAGAGTAAGCCAGTAAACACCGGCCCAGGCCGCCTCAGGACAAGCCGCATCAATAGACCGGGGCAGTGAACGGGGGCCAATTCCAGGCTCGGGGCCGGCTCATTTTACCGTGACTCTGTTGATTAATTTCGGACAGAACTTCCAGTTCGTCTGCGAACTGCCTCTCGAAGCGATCGTCGTCGCCCTCCTCCTGCTCCCATTCCCAGTCCCACTCTCCGTCCATCTCTCCCAGCACAAACTTGCCGCCAAATCGATCCGTAACCACGTCCGGGTGAGGGGTCAGCCTCTACGTCATGGAGCCCCGCCCTCTTCCCGTTATTGGCCTAAGTGGCCGTCCATTATAGGCAACGGGGCAGGGAGCCTTTTCTGATTGGCCTATCTTCCCAATGGGGGTGGGCCTTGTGAAGCCCCGGGCTGCAATGTTGTGGAGGAGGCCTGTGTCAGACGGAGGGGCACCCTGGGCCCAGGGCATCATATTTCAGACTTGAGGGGGGCCTGCAGCTCGATGTCTTGGAGGTGGGTTTTATATTTTGGAGTGGTTCGTGGAGAGAATTCCAGAGCTTTGCGCCCGAGCGATTGAGTTACAACTCAAACACTGTGGATGCTGGAAATCTGCAGGAAAAGCAAAAGGTGCTGGAGAAACTCAGCATCTGTGGAGAGAGAAAAAGAAGCAGACTTAGCATTTCGAGTCCGCTGTGACTCTTCCTCAGGACTCAGTAGCTGGGAGCGTGGCCACTGATGTTGGGGCAGGGGCAGGGGCAGGGGCAGGGGCAGGGGCAGGGGCAGTGGCAGTCATGGACAGTCAACAGGCCAGACGTGAAGGAGAGCAGGAATACTGAAGGGTTGCAGGAAGTACAATGAGGAGGGGTTTGCAAATCTAAAAAATCGAGCTTCTAGATCACTGGCAGTCAGTGCAGGTCACTGTGCAATGATTTTACATGATTTAGAATCTAAACAATACAGTTTTAGATTAAACAAAAACAGAAATTGCTGGAAAAGCTCAGCAGGCCTGGTAGTATTTGTGAAGGAATATCAGGGTTAATGTTTCAAGTCCAGTGACGCTTCTTCAGAACAGAAGAACAGTAGATTCTGTGAGTCAGAAACAAAAACAGAAATTGCTGGAAAAGCTGAGTCGGTCTGGCAGCATCTGTGGAAAGAAATCAAAGTTAATGTTTCAGATCGAGTGACCTGAAGTTCTGAGGAAGGATCATCCGACCCAAAATGTTAACTTAGATTTCTGTACACAGATGCTGCCAGACCTGCTCAGCTTTTCCAGCAATCTCTGTTTTTGTTTCTTCTTCAGAACAGTTTTAGATGAGTCATGTGGACCCTATTCAATGTGGGAGCTGAAGTATGCCATTCAGCCCATTATGTCTGTTCTGTCATTAAATGAGACCATTGCTAATCTGATGGTCCTCAACTCCACTTTCCTAACTTTTCCCCACAGCCCTTGATTCCCTTACTGATTAAAAGTCTGTCACACTCAACCTTGAATATACCCAAAGACCCAGTCCTGACAGCCTTTTCTGGTAAACAAATCCCCAAATTCACAACCTTGTGAGAGAAGAAATTCTTCCCTATTTCAGTCCCAAATGTGCAACCCCTTACTCTGAGACTATGCCCTCTGGTCCTCGACTCTCCCACAAGGCGAAACATCATCTCTGCATTTACCCTGAGAATCTTGTATGTTTCAATAAAGTTGCCTCTTACTTTTCTAAACTCTAGGCACTATAAACACTCGGGTGAACATGTGCAGAACCTGGAGGGCACTGGTTAGCTTCTACCAGGATTGCTGTTTTATATCCCGAAGGATAGGTTTATCGTTGGATTTCATTTAACCCTTTCAAGGTAGGAACTGCCCTAAACAGCATATGCACTCAAAATAGGCTCACAGGCTGTGAGCAGTTTAGATCTTTGAGGTATTGATTTCCTCCCACAGTCCAAAGATGTGCAGGTTAGGTGGATTGGCCATGCTAAATTTCCCATAGTGTTCAGGGAGGTGTAGATTAGCTGGGTTATAGGGGGATGGGTCTGGGTGGGATGCTCTGAGGTTCGGTGTGGACTTGTTGGGCTGAAGGGCCTATTTCCACACTGTATTCTATGATTCTATGAATAGATTGCCCCAACGTATGGACCTATGAACTCTATAACGAGAAAGTTGAATTCTGGTCACCGAACTTCAGAAAAGACGTTTGGAGAAGGGAGTAAGGTGGGATTATGATGAGGGAAACATTTGGAGCAGCCGACTGTAGGTGTAGCAGAGGTATTATAGCAGATGAGCTGAGGAAGGATCGGACTGACATTATGGAGGTGGATTGTTTGTGATGGAGAAAGGATGTGGGGTCAGAAACTTGGCTCAGGGCCCACTTAAGTGTGCGTCATTGGCTAGGGACAGGATGGAATCATTTGAAATGCTGTACATTGTGTGGGGTGCAAAGACAATGGCTGTATCCTACTCAGTATGTACTTGGAGGAAATTTCAACTCATCCAGTTGTCAGTACACCAGCACTAAGTGCCAAAGCTGCACAGCAACCTAGAATGTGCATGTAGGGGTCAAACAGGCCACTCATAGGCAGCATTCCCTTTAAGATGCATGCACCCTGTAGTACTTTAGGGTGACTGGATTTTCAAAAGTCAAAACCAAGCCATATTGAAAAGCCATGGAAAAGTGGGGTTGTCTGATGATTGAGTGACCAATGGCAGGAGACTGGTCAAGGTATCACATGAATGACATCTCCCATCAGTTATCCAGCCAGAGTTGTTAACCCTATCTGTACATTGTTTGATAGGCAATGTGGGGAGGGATAAGGTCTGTTGTGCGCAATGCAATGTCATGGCTGTTCACAGAATGGAAGATGAAATTTCATACAGATAGCCTCCCACAAGCCCATTAAACGGATATAGGAGTTGGCCCATCAAGCCTGCTCCACCATTCATCTAGACCATGGCTGATTTATTTTCTAAATAAAACCCAAAAGAAATACGGATGCTGTAAATAAGGAACAAAAACAAAGTTGCTGGAAAAGGTCAGCAGGTCTGGCAGCATCTGTGAAGGAAAAAACAGAGTTAGCGTTTTGGGTCTGGTGACCCTTCCTCAGAACTGATGGTAGCTGGGAAAACGTTAGTTTATATGCAGAAAAAAGGGGAGGGTGATGGGGTAGGGAGTAAATGATAGGATAGAGCCTAAAGAGAGAGAAGAGCAAGTGGACAGGCAAAATGTTGATAACAATTTGGCTGGGAGGGTGAGTAGTGATTACTCTAGGTCAAGTCGGCATAAGGAGGGTGGAAGTGTTGGGTATTCTGAAAGGCATTAGGGTGGACAAGTCCCCAGGTCTGGATGGGATCTATCCCAGGTTACTGAGGGAAGCGAGAGAGGAAATAGCTGGGGCCTTAACATATCTTTGCAGCATCCTTGAGCACGGGTGAGGTCCCGGAGGATTGGAGAATTGCTAATGTTGTCCCCTTGTTTAAGAAGGGTAGCAAGGATAATCCAAGTAATTATAGACCGGTGAGCCTGACATCAGTGGTGGGGACGCTGCTGGAGAAGATACTGAGGGATAGGATCTATTTACATTTGGAAGAAAATGGGCTTATTCGTGGTAGGCAGCATGGTTTTGTGCAGGGAAGGTCATGTCTTACCAACTTGATAGAATTCTTTGAGGAAGTGACAAAGTTGATAGATGAGGGAAGGGCTGTAGATGTCATATACATGGACTTCATTAAGGCGTTTGATAAGGTTCCCCATGGTAGGCTGATAGAGAAGGTGAAGTCGCATGGGGTCCAGGATGTACTAGCTAGTTTGATAGAGAACTGGCTGGGCAACAGGACGCAGAGAGTTGTAGTGGAAGGGAGTTTCTCAAAATGGAGACCTGTGACCAGTGGTGTTCCACAGGGATCCGTGTTGGGACCACCGTTGTTTTTGATATACATAAATGATCTGGAGGAAGGTATAGATGGTCTGATTAGCAAGTTTGCAGATGACACTAAGATTGGTGGAGTAGCAGATAGTGAAGGGGACTGTGGGAGAATGCAGCAGAATATAGATAGATAGATTGGAGAGTTGGGCGGAGAAAAGGCAGATGGAGTTCAATCCAGGTAAATGCGAGGTGATGCATTTTGGAAGATCCAATTCAAGAGCGAACTATACGGTAAATGGAAAAGCCCTGGGAAAATTGATACACAGAGATCTGGGTGTTCAGGTCCATTGTATTCTGAAGATGGCAACGCAGGTGGATAGAGTGATCAAGAAGGCATACGGCATGCTTTCATTCATCAGACGGGGTATTGAGTACAAGAGTTGGCAGGTCGTGTTACAATTGTACAGGACTTTGGTTCAACCACTTCTGGAATACTGCGTGCAGTTCTGGTCGCCAAATTACCAAAAGGATGTGGATGCTTTGGAGAGGGTGCAGAGGAGGTTCACCAGGATGTTGCCTGGTATGGAGGGTGCTAGCTATGAAGAGAGGTTGAGTAGATTAGGATTATTTACATTAGAAAGACGGAGTTTGAGGGGGGACCTGATTGAGGCCTACAAAATCATGAGAGGTATAGACAGGGTGGATAGCAAGCAGCTTTCCCCCAGAGTGGGGGACTCAATTACTAGGGGTCACGATTTCAAGGTGAGAGGGGAAAAGTTTAAGGGAGATATACGTGGAAAGTTCTTTATGCAGAGGGTGGTGGGTGCCTGGAACGCGTTGCCAGCGGAGGTGGTAGAGGCGGGCATGATAGCGTCATTTAAGATGTATCTGGACAGAAACATGAATGGGCAGGGAGCAGAGGGATACAGATCCTTGGTAAATAGGCGACAGGTTTAGTTGGATGATCTGGATCGGCTCAGGTTTGGAGGGCCGAAGGGCCTGTTCCTGTGCTGTAATTTTCTTTGTTCTTTGTTCTAGTTGTTAATGGGGACTATTAGTGACTAATAACAGGTCATATGTGATGGCAGGCTATGTGGTAACAAGACCTGGTGTGTGGGATAGGGGGCTGGGACATGGGAGAGTTTAGGCCCTAAAATTATTGAATTTGATATTGTGTCCGGAGGGCTGCAGGGTCTCCAAGTGAAAATGAGGTGTTGTTCTTCTAGCTTGCGTTCGGCTCCGCTGGAACACTGCAGCAAGCCAGAGACCGAGATGTTGGTCAGGGAGCAAGGTGGTGCGTTAAAGTGGCAGGCAACGGGTAGTTCAGGGTCTTTTTTGCGAGTAGATGTTCTGCGAAGCGGTCACCTAGTCTATGCTTTGTTTTCCCAATGTAGAGGAGACCACATTGTGAGCAGCGAATGCAGTAGACTAGATTCTGGGAAGTGCAGGTGAAGTGTTGCTTCACCTGGAAGGTATGTTTGAGCCCTTGGATACTGGGGAGTGAGGAGGTAAATGGACGGGTGTTGCACCTTCGCTGGTTACAGGGGAAGGTGCCGTAGGGCTGTGGGGAGGTGTTGGGGGTGAAGGAAGTGTGGACCAGGGTGTCCCGGAGGGAACAGTCCCTGCAGAAGGCAGACAAGGGAGGGGAGGGGAATATGTGTCTGGTCGTGGCATCTTGCTGGAGATGGTGGAAATGGCGTCTGATGATCTTCAGGATGTGGATGCTGGTGGGCTGGTAGGTAGGGACAAGGGGAGCCCTATCGCTGTTGCGGGAGGGAAGAGAAGGGGTGAGGGTGGAAGTGCGGCAGATGGGTCAAACCTGGTTGAGGGTCCTGTCGACAACAGTGCTGGAGTATCCTTGGTTGAGGAGGAACATGGACATTTTGAAGGCTCCCTTGTCGAAGTTGGCCTCATCTGAACATATGCGATGGAGACAGAAGAACTGAGAGAATGGGATGGAGTCCTTATAGGAAGTGGGGTGTGAGGATGTATGGTCCAAGTAGCTGTGGGAGTCAGTGGGTTTGTAGTGGATTTTAGAGGCCAGTCAATCCCCAGAAATGAAACAGAAATGTCGAGAAACGGAAGGGAGGAGTCAGAGATAGATCAGGTGAAAGTGAGGACAGGGCGGAAATTGGAGGCGAAATTGATTAAGTTGATGAATTTCCCATTCCAGACGAGAGAGGGAAGCAGCATCGATGATATCATCGATGTATCGGAGAAAGAGTTGTGGGTGGGGGCCAGAATAAGACTGGATCAAGGAATGTTCCACGTACCCCATGAAGAGACAGGCATAACTGGAGCCCATGCGTGTACCCACAGCCACCCCTCTTTACCTGAAGAAAATGAGAGGTGTTAAAAGAGAAGTTGTTGAGGGTGAGGACGAGCTTGGCCAAGCGGAGGAGGGTGGTGATGGGTGGGGATGGTTAAGGTCTTTGCTGTAGGAAGAAGCGGAGAGCCCTAAGACCCTCCTGGTGGGGAATGGATATGTACAGGGATTGCATGTCCATGGTAAAGCGGAGGTGTCTAGAACCAGAAAGCTGGAAGTTTTGAAACCGGCGTAAGGTGTCAGAGGAATCATGGATGTATGTGGGCAGGGACTGGACCGGGGGGAGAAGACTGAGTCAAGGTAGGAAGAGATGAGTTCTGTGGGGCAGGAACAGGCTGAAACATTGGGTCTGCCTGGACAGTCCTGTTTGTGGGTTTTTGGGAGGAGGTAGAAGCGAGCTGTGCGGGCTGGGGATCTATCAGCTTGGAAGCAGAAGTGGGGAGATCACCAGATGAAATGAGATCAATTATCGTAGTAGATACAATGGCCTGATGTGTTATGGTGGGGTCATGGTCCCGGGGAAGGTAGGAGGAGGTATCTGAGAGTTGGCGCTCAGCCTCTGCAAGGTAGAGGTCAGTATGCCAGACTACAACAGCATCACCCTTATCGGCAGGCTTGATGGCAAAGTCAGGGTTAGATCTGAGTGCACGGAGTGCAGTCAGTTTGGAGGGAGTTAGGTTGGGTTTGGTGAGGGGAGGGCAGAGAAATTGAGGCGACTAATGTCACGTCGACAGTTCTCAATGAACAGATCGAGTGCAGGTAAAAGGTCAGAGGGAGGGGTCCAGGTGGAGGGAGAGTGTTGGAACTGAGCAAAGGGGTCTGTGAGACGGGGAGAGGACTCTTGTCCAAAGAAATGAGCATGGAGGTGAAGATGGCGGAAGAAGAGTTCGGCGTCATGTCGTGCTCGAAATTCGTTAAGGTGGGGACGCAGAGGGATAAAGCTGAGGCCTTTGCTGAGTACAGAACGCTCAGCATCAGACAGTTGGAAGTTGGGAGGTACAGTGAATACCTGACAGGAGGTGGGGTTGGGAGAGGGGATGGAGTCAGAGGGAAGGGAAGGAGAGGAGGGTTCCAGAGGGCCATGGGTATCTTTGAATTGTTGCATCCTGTGGGCCTTGATGCCTGAAAGGAAAAGGAAAAGAAAAAGTTTCTTGTTAGCACGACGAATGAACCGGAGGATGAAGTGGAACTGCGGAGTGGTGCAGCCCTGAGCCAGTGTGTTGCAATGCTGTTGGAGAGAAAGGTTGAGAGTGTGCATGTGGCATCGCATGGCACTGAGTGTGGATCTTAGGATAAGGCGAGAGCAGCTATCCTTGAAACGTTGAAAGTCACGGAAGTATCTGTGATCCTGGGATGACTCAAAACATGAGGGATGAAACTTCAGTTGGGATGAGTCTGAGCCGGAGGCTGTCACTGAGGAATGTGAAATGGCTGTGGAAATGAGTTTTAGCAAATTTATGATTTATTTTATTTTTTTTTTTCAGATTTCTTAACATCTGCAGTCTTTTATTTCTGCATTAAAGTAGCAGAGCCCATCTTCAATTTTTTGTCTTCCCTTAGATAGCTGTGGCATGGCTCAGTGATATGGAGACTGCCAGAATAGACAACCTGTGTATTCTATACCAGAGCTCAGATTTCTTGGTGGTGAACAAGCACTGGGATATTCGCATTGATAGTAAGATGTGGTATGAGAAGCTAACCGTCCAGTCTCAATTGAAGCACCGGTTTCCCGAGCTTGTTGACCCAGATACGTACTATGGGTTTAGGTGAGTACTCTGTCACTTAAGTTATGGCATCTGGGTTTACTATGGTTCCTGTGTTCTGAATTGATCCCATCAGGGAAACTTAAACTCATTCATGTAGTAACTATGAAGCACTGGCACCATATTCAGGAAAAAGAGAGCTGTTTTATTGGGAGCAGCTTCACTTAAACCAAACTGAGGCCAGTGTTCTAACAAATCATATAACTAGGGCACTTTTTATTAACCAGCACCTATGGCACTAAGAGTGTGCCAGCTGATCAGATTTTCGGATAACCAAAAGGTACACACAACCACAGTAAACCCTGACCAAGCGAAGCTTCGAGACATTAAATCACTCAAAAAATCCATGTAAAAACATCATCACATCTCCTAAAACCAATGTAAAAGCACGCAGTAAGTAACAGAAACATAATGCAGGGTCTATGCACATCACTGTTATACTTTATTTACAGTATAAATACTTGAACATTGCATAGAATGCGGTATTTAAGATATATAACTTTAAAGTTTTGGCAAAGATCTGTAGCTAGGGTTGTGGGTGAGGTTGTTGACTTGCTCGCCGAGCTGGCTTGTTCTCGTTCAGATGTTTTGTCATCATGGTAGGTGACATCATCAGTGGACCCTCCGATGAAGCGATGTTATTCTATTATTAGTATTCTGCTTTATTAGTAGAATAACATCGCTTCATCAGAGGCTCCACTGATGATGTCACCTAGCATGGTGATGAAATGTCTGCACGAGAACAAGCCAGCTCAGCGAGCAAGTCAACAACCTCAAGGTATATAACTTTTATCAAGAATGCTGGTTGATATGATGCCAGTTAATTCATATGGACTTGGAGCTTGGGTTTGTAGGGCTTCAGATAAGATGATGTCTCCTACCATCCTCTGTCGGTAGTTATGTTCAATAAAGCCTGTTGCTGTTCACACAGAAGAATATATATCTCTTTACTGCAATTGCTGGCAGGCCAGAAACACTAGCTCCCCCAAGTCTTTTGTCAGTATGCTGACCTGGGATTCTGCCAAAACAGGGCTATAATTATGATAATGTTACTTTGTAAAAACAATTATATGCAATAGGTCAAAAGAGTTTAAAAGCCAGACTCCCAGTAACTTTACACTTGGTGTTTATTTAAACCTGAAACCTCTTTGTCAGGATTTCAACAAGGCCTGGAATTTCTATATTAACATTTAGTATTCAAATGTGTGTAATTTCATTGTATGTTGCGAATGCATTAGAGAACCGGAGAAGCAGATTTGGTATGAAGTGTCAAGGAACATTCTACTACTTTAAAGGTGCAAGTTGTTGTAGTAGTACATGCTATCAGGGCAAATGTTTGCTTAGTTGAGACAGCACAAGCCGACAAATATTCTTTGCTAGATGCCATTGACTGGCCTTGAAACAGCAACTTGAGATTTCCTGAACTTATCCAGTGAGGCATTCAGACCAGAAATTTACGCCATGCTGAGGAAGCCCCATCTCATTAGAAACATGATATTTGGTCCCCATAACACTGGAGTGTATTTCATCTATGTTGCTGACTTTAAAAAGGATGAAAAGGAAACAGGGGATGGGGGAATCTTACCATCCTTGCTGTTAGCAATCCATTTTCTTTTTTTCTCTCCGTTGCTTTACCAAGCAGCTCCTGAAATTGGTCATATGTCTGGCTGCTCTGTCTTTCCAAGCTGGATGGTTGCAGGCAACGGTTTCAAAATATGCAACTTATCACACAACTGCGGTTTAAAACCAGAAGTATGAGTTCCTTGATGCCTGATATCACTGACTAGTTTCAATATTTTTAGATAGACAATTTTGGTTTTCCTGAACTTGCCTTAATCAAAGCTCAATTGTTTGCTGCAGCCATTTTAGGTTCGAGCTTTTTCACTTTTAAACTGTTTTGATCCATGACGGTCTGAGGTATTAAAGTTAGTTGATGACAATGGATAGTCCATACATTACCATTGTTATGACAGTATCTTTGCATAAAAGAGGCTGAGGATGGAATTAGTACCGACTGATCAAAGACTCTAGCTTAAACTGATAAGGCAAGGTTTGGTTATGATAATTAATTTCATATTTTCTTGGTCATTATGTGTAATATAAGAGGCCCATATTGAATTAGAGATTTAGTTGACAAAGAATTTCTTATTAACAGCGGTGGCATTGCCTTTTCACCAGGTCTTTTGTTACACATCAGAAACAACAGAGTTGGACTTTGTAACCATGATGTTACTCTGATCTTCAGCTTATACACAGAAAGGCATGCAGTATACCATTGGCTCAACATGTAATCTTAATGTAGTTTTGAAGAATTTCAGGTGCCATCTGAAGTCTGGTTAATTCAGGCAATGCAAGGGATGTTTGTGCTGTGATTCCCATCATTTTGTTTTATGTTTCTGACAGATTTTGCCATCAGCTGGACTTTTCCACCAGTGGGGCACTGTGTATTGCTTTCAGTAAGCTGGCAGCTGCCAAGGCCTATCGGTGTTTCAGAGACCGTCTGGTTACCAAGGTTTACCTGGCTCTGGTATGCTTTTCTTCAACTTGTTTAATTGATTGTGTGCATATACAGTTTGTGCAACATTTCTTTGCAGTACCAATCAAACCCTACAATGTCCTGAAGTCATTGGGGTAGAAATTTCTTTTAGGCCGTCACATTATAAGATGATGATAATTCTGCTGCATATCCATACCCAATATTCACTTCAAAATTTTCATTGTTGTGTTTGGTAGAACTGAATGTTGAGCAGGCCAGGTAAGCAGAAGCCTAGTGTCAGAATGCCCAAAGCACATTTCTAGTCCAATTTGACTATAAAATTTGACTAATCCTTTATTTAAACTTAAGTGATTTTGTATTTTGTTTTTGAATTGACTGAAAATGACTGTACCTTGCTCCTTTTACCCAGTCACCACATCATCCCATTTCTAAGTTAGGGGCACAGAAGTAAAGTATGCTGCTATTTCATCTCTGTTCCCAGCAAGAATTTATTATCCATGGCTCCACCTGGAAATTACAGGTGCTGAATGTTTGGATGAGTACAGGGATAGCCCTCTTCCCATTTCCTCATGATATCCACCCACACTGGAATAGTCTAGTCTTGTAGTTGAAATAGAATCATAGAGTTATACAGCACAAAAACAAACCCTTTGGTTCAACTTGCCCATGCCAACCAAGTTTTCTCAACTGATCTAGCCCCATTTGCCAGCATTTGGTCCACATCCCTCTAAAACCTTCCTATTCATAAACCTATCCTGATGCCTTTTAAATGTTGTAATTGTTCAGTCTCCAGCAGCTCTTCTGGCAGCTCGTTCCATACATGTACCACCCTCTGTGTAAAATGCTACCTCCCAGGTTCCTTTTAAATCTTTCTCCTCTCACTTTAAACCTATGCTCTTTAGTTTTGCACTCCACTACCCTGGGGGAAAAATGTCTTGGCTGTTCACCCCATCCATGCTCTTCATGACCTTCTAAACCTCTTTAAGGTCACCCCTCAGCTATGGCGATCCAGGGAAAATCGCTCCAGCCTATTCAGCCTCTCCCTAAAGCTCAAACCCTCCATTCCTGGCAATCATGTAAATATTTTCTGACCCCTTTCAAGAACAACATCCTTCCTATAGCAGGGAAAATGTCCAGACAGAAGTGAAATACAGATGAGTTGCTGGTGTCTCTACCACCATTCTCATTAGGAACACTGAATAAGACACAAAATGATGATGGGAGTTAATTTTCTCTGGTTCCTGTGTGTTGATGGTATTGTAATCAAAATGAATTGATGAGGTACTCAATCCCTGCCACTAGATGGCTGTGTACCATTAGAGTTACAGCTGTCGAGCTCAAAGTAACATTAAGGGCTTGAGGCTAGTTCTAACCGTTTCATGAAATAAATTGTTTTATCACTGACGTTGTTCCCTCTTACACTTCCTAACCTCATCATAAACCTGCCCTTGTTGCACACTCTAAAGCTGAAGGGAAGGAGGAATGATTTTTTCCTCTGTCATACGTCTTCCCTTCGATTTTCAGTGACATTAACAGATGTCCCAGCATATTTAAATTTAGTATGTGAGGGATTATTCTTTGTTCATTAGGATTCATAATCTAGTAATTATTTATAATTTAAAAACCTTTAAGTGTTTGAAGGTAGTATTATCCAAAATAAGTTAATTAGTTTCCAATAAATTTCATGAATATCCTCAGAGGTCACAGTTAGCTCAGTTGGCTGGATGTCTGGTTTGTGATGCAGTATGATGCCAACAGCATGGGTTCAATGCCTGCATTGGCTGAGGTTACCATGAAGGACCAAGCTTATGATTAGCTAGGACTATGACAATTTTACTATTAGTTTTTATTATTATAGTTTTAAGCCATTTGAGGGCAGCAGTGAGACATGTAGGAAGTTTAAAATGAAACTGGGTCTGAATAAGACAGGTTTTCACATATAGAGTGAGATTGTTGACACTAGTGTTAAACCTAATGTTGTCACAGGTCAGAGGTCATGTTGCTGTGAATAGGATGCTGATTGAACACGCAATTGGTAAAAATACAAACGAAGGAAAGACGCACATGATGTGTACTGAAGAAACCCAAGGTAAAGTAGATAATTACAGCTGCTCCAGAATGAATTAGCTGCTGATAAACACTGAACACAATAGATAGGCAAGGCTGTAAAGATGTGAGAGAAAGATGCATTGTCATAGACTTTAAAGGGTAGCATTAACTATAGGACAGATTCTCACAGATCTTTCTTTGGACATAAATTTAGAGAAATAAAAGTCAAACCTTTATGATTAACTTAGCATCATTACCCCGCCTTGAGGTTTCACATGTCATGCTCCAAAGCTGTTTTTTTGCATTAACTCATGCTGCCCTGCAGCATTGACCAGACGGTGCACTATTGCAGCTAAGGGTACCCAACCATGCAGCCTAGCTTCTGAGATTCAGACTGTTGCTAGGATGGGAGGGGTGGGCGGGTTTCATTCCATATGATCTATTGGAAGTTACCGATAACATCAACAGAATGCCATAGTTGTAATTTAACTCTTAATAGCTGATCATCTGTCTGAAACAAAAGGTGAAAAACCGAAGGCCATTACGCAGGAAAGCTCCCATGATCTAAAAAGGAGAAACTGAAGCAAGAGTGGAAGGAGTGATTAAATTTCATGGGTTTTAAAATATTGTAGAAAAACTGATTGTGGAAAGATTGAGTTAGAATCTGGCAGGGTTCACTGAAGCTTTGTTTTAATGCGATAGGCTAAATTGAAGGAATAAAGAAATATACTGAGAAAAACACAGCATTGGGATATTAATAACGTAAGCAGACAGTACCATTGTGCTAACATCATAACTGCAGGATTATACCATTTGGCTCTTCAGGCCTGTGCCATCATTCAATAAAATTATTGCTGATCTTCTACTTCAGTTCCACCTTCCTGCATTATCCCCGTATACACAAGACCATGAGAAATAGGAGCAGGAGTTGACCATATAACCTATTGAGCTAGCTCCATCATTTCATACCATCATGCAACTCCACTTTCTGGCCTACTGCCCATACTCCTTGATTCACATAGAGTCCGAAACTCTATCACCCCCTAAAATTTATTCACCAATGGAGCATTTTCAACCTTCTGCGGTAGACAATTCCATAAATTCACAACTGTTTGAGTGAAATAATTTCTCCTAATCTTAGTCCTAAATGACTGTTCCCTTATCGTAAAACTTTGCGCACATTTTAGATTCTATAACCAACAGAAACAACCTCTCAGTCTGTACCCTATCAAGTCCCTTCAGAATCTAGTCCATTTCAATGAGATCAGCTGTAAATCTTCTAAAATCCAGAGAATAGGCACCCAATTTACTCAACACCCTTCTCATAGGATCATTTCCTCATCCCAGTGACCAATTTAGTAGAGATAGTGGTGGAGAGAGAATCCAGAGACATGAAGGAAGAGAGAGGTTGCTTCTCAGACAATAGAATTAAGAGTGAAATCTGTAAATTGATTTCCAAAATAATCACAGCCAGTTTTCAGAATATAAATAATTGGGGCATTGCTGTTTGGTTTGGAATTAGGTATTTGCCCATTTATATTAATTCGTAAGGATAAGTAAGTTAAACTTTTAAATTAAAAAGTATCTGATTTATCCAGAGAAAGCTAATGTATTTTTTCTGTCTGATTATTATAAAGGTTGTCAAAACCCCAAACCATCTCAGACAGAGATGATTGTCCTTGCAAAAGGTTTTTACAGTGGAGATCCAGTTACTAAAGTACTCCTGCAGCCTTTAACAGGTTAGTCAAAATCTGTAAAACCCTAAATAAAAACCAAAAGAACTTTGGATGCTGGAAATCAGAAACAAAAACAGAAATTGCTGGAGAAGCTCAACAGTTCTGGCAGCAAAAATGATTAATTTGATCCAGTCGTAGCAATATCACCTCTCAGTCAGTAGGGTTACGGGTTCACCTTTTGTACAGTAATTTGCACTTAGTTTTGACTGCCACATCAGTACAGTGCTGCATAGTTGGATCTGCTGTCCTTTACATGGGATGTTAAACAAAGCTAAGGGGGTGGAATTTAATGTATGTTTTGGAGGCAGGAGGTCTGTTTAAACGGGTGGAGCATGCAGGGAAATATCCTTGCATCCCTCCAAATATGTCCAGCTGGGAGAGCCTGTGGGCATCCTTCCTGACAAGGGGCCAATTCAGGCCATTCCATGGGCAATTAATACTCACTTCCCATGTGCCACTAAAATGACTGCAGTAGGTGGGGTGATTGCCATGCAGGGAGACCAGTCAGGTTTGCTTGAAACCCTCTGCGGAGGCCACAGCCACTCAGTAGTTGATTGAGGGATGGCTCAATTGAGGCATCAAGGAGGTGGTGCGCACTGAAAGCCAATCCCTGCCCTTGCTGCTGACCCCACTCTCTTCTGTCCACAACAACTGTCGACCCTGTCCGCGTGTCTCCTCTTCCCACCCTTGCTTACTTTTCATTGGTGGGTAGCCAAGAGAGTTAAAATGGCAAAAGCCACAGCTCATGAGGAATTTGCAGTATTGAAACGTCACTGTTGGAGCCACGTGTCCCATTGGCAGGGTTTCTACTGCTAACGAAGTACTTGATTGCTTCAAAGCCTCCTGGAGATTGGATCGGCAGTAGTGCCACCAGTTTTGCTGGTCGAGGTCAGGTCACCCCACCACCTCATTAAATTCTTCTCGAAGTGTTCAGGTAGGTCTAAATAATCCTGTGGCACAGTCTGGAATTTCTCCCAATGCCCTATCCAATGTCAGCTCCTCCAAAGATGAATAGCCTAATAATTTATTGCATTGCTACTTCGGTGACAGCTCCCTGTACAAATTGATTGCCACAACAGTAGTAATAATTCCAAAATAATTAATTAGCTGTAAAGTGCTGTGATGATGAACAGAGTCACCATTTAAATCTTTTGTTCCTTCATACAATTGGAACTTGTTTTTATATTGCTTTACTTTTGGAACATGCATTTGAACTAATCACAAATGCTGATGAATAAAGTATTCTCAGATGTGTGCAAATCTTTCTTAGTTTCCTTTTTTTGCAGTCTCTGTTGTCCATGGTCTACACTTCATTCTGCTGGCTCAATCATTCAGAGATGTCTAATGGTATACAAACTGGAAGTGTTAACTTACTGTTGGAAGTATGTTGTTCTGGAGGTGCAATTTTTGCAAAGTTGTTGAGAGTTTTGTGCCACACATCAAATAATCTCCAAGAAATAAGTTTTACATTATAAGATCAATAAGAACAGATAGGAATGCAGTAAAGGAAACATGATGAATAGAGTTGTCAGCAGAACTGAACAATGAAGGTACATTCATCTCATGTTAATGCTAATATTGCCATCACTTGTTTGTTATCTGAACAAGTTATAGATCAGTCCATTTTTATTTGACAAATTGTTTGTGTATGCTTCCTTTTCTTTGCGTTTCCATTTCCCTTTTCATTGCTCTGTTCCATTTTTAAGTGCAGTTCAATCTGAAACATTGGGAAGAATTTAGTTCCCTCCTCCTTGACCAATTTGGTGGTAGAGGCGTCTGTTTAATAAGGTAGGAAAATACTGAGTATGTGGTCCTCACCACATTCACGCATTCACTCAAATGTCTGAAGTAGAAGTGCTGGTGAGCAGTCTTCCCACCCTGTTATCATTAAGGCCTAATTAAAAGCCTTACTTAACTCAACAGTGGCTGGCATCTTACCACGTGGGGAGCACGACAAGTAAAACATTGGACTGTCGCTGAAAATCTACTAGCCTTAGGTGGTACAGTGTTTATATTCAAATATAAATTTTGCTTGTAAACATTTTGCATTCTTTTCTTTGCATTATTCACGTGCACATCATTGTTATTTGTTGAGACTATAGTTGCCAGGGAGTCAGGAACATTATTTATGTGTAGTAAACCATGTGCAGAATCTAAAGCATTCTGGAATGTGGTGAGAAATTTGGGAAAATTGCGTGAGAAGTCTAGTGAGGCATTTCTCAAAGTCTAGACCAATGAGCTACATTTTTCCAACAGAATTCCGGGTATTCGGATGAGATTCTCAATATTAACGAGGATTTTGCTTGTTATCAATCTCGACAGTTGCATGTCTGACCTCGTTAATATGCAGCTTCCTATCCTAACACCCACCGTGAGGCTAGTCTTGAGAAGGAAGTTAGACGGGTACCTGGTGATTGTAGCTCACCGCTTGTTCCTCTGGATCCATTTTGGATACCCAACACCAACGATTCAGGACATTCTTGTTACCCACCAACTGCATGAACCTCCACTGGTATCTGCCATCCCCTCAAAACCCTCATGCCGCCTCTTCAATCGACTTACAGGACACTCCTGATGCAAAATCAACTAGCATTGAAATGCTCCTCCAAGTATGTTTTGCCTATTTGGGCAGACATCTAGCTCTCAAACTGGACCAGACTGCAGCTCATGGCTGCTTGCTTGCTCTTGGGACCCATTCACTCACTTAGCGCCTATTTCGATGCTCTCGGCATCCATGTCCTGCCTCTCCATGACTCTTTGCGCTTTGTCCCCACCCAGCCAAAGTTACCAGGCTCACAGCATCCCTGCCATGCCACAACTTACCAAGCCAGGAAGCTTGACGTGGGCATCAGCAGTTCTCAGTCAAGTCGAGGGAGACAACCTTCAAACCAGGGTTTCCACACAGTAAGTCAAGGACAAACTCCAATCTCAGTCCAGAGGCTAGGCACGGTCACTCAGCCAAGGGAGATGGGGCTGGGGGTGGGGGTGGTGATCAGGGTGAGGATTCTCTTCTCTTATTAAATGAAGAGCCAGATTTGAGCAGTTCACCAGTGGTGGTCAATCTTGCAGCCCCTATTGTGGGCTTTCCTTTTCCGTACACAGAGAGAAAGGGAGGGATCGAGTGATATAGAAATGGGCGGCACAGCTATTAGTGCTGGTGTAGGTGGGGGGAAAATGGGGAAGTTTCTTGAGCGAATGAGTAGATGAGTCGTCAGTGCAATGGCCAAGGAGGATTAGGAGACTGGGGTGTGTTTAAAGAGGGTAAGTGCGAGTGAGGGAAGGTACTGTGTGCAATAGTGAGGAGTGGTAGAGCATGAGGCTTGGTGGGAGGTGGATGCAGTAGCAGAGTGAGTGAGGGCAGGGGAGCAGAGAAAATATGGCAGCACTTAGCCTGGCCAAGCATTGTAGGTCATTGACATTCTTTCTACACTACTGGGCATTCCTCCAGACAGCTGAGACTACAATGACCTAAGTGGCAATCTCTGATCAAGCTGGCAGAGTCTGATGGCATGGCCTACTCTGGTAGTCCTGGGGGAAAAGAATGTCCCACCCCTGTGTCACATTCTCCACCAGGTCCTCCTGGTGCCTGCTTGCAATGCAAGGCAAGCCACATCTGAGGTAAATGTCCTTTACTGTGCAGCTCTGGACTAACCGTGTTTGTCCGCAAGCACAATGGCCTTTTTAGAAATGGCGTGGGCACCAGCGGTCCTGGTTTATTCTGGGATATCTGGGCATTGGTGAGTTCTTCCCACTGTGGCAAGTGATAAAATCAAGTTAGCGCTATAGCGTGGGAGAGAGAGTTTATGAAGCTTGTTTGGTAAAATAGCATGAGAGAAACTTGCTAGGTTTCATGGAGAGAAGCCCCACATGAAACTCAATGAAACTGTCACTTGGCTAAATAATTGGAAGATTCAAATTCAGTGTATTTTTGCGTTTCTTTTTATTGAATGTTCATGTTAGTGTCCAGATTTGGTTGAACTTGCAAGCTCAGATGGCCCTCCTGTCTACTGCATTGTAGAGGAGATTGTGCAAGATCATGCTCCCCATGAATATTTAAGACATTATGGGTAAATTCAAAGCGCTGTAAGGACGACGTTAGCTAACAGCCTGAGGTACACCCACGCTTGGCCAGTACTGCCCCTGCCCTTTAAGCCCGTCATTTTCTTACATTGACTGACTGACTGTACCCACAATATCCTAATACCAGGAACTTCTCAACTCAGTCCTCCATGCATCTGATGTGTCCTCACTCCCAATTTACTCTTCCTGGTCCCGAACCTTCTTGCAAACTGCCATACACTGGCTCCCTTTGCTTATGCTGCAGTGTTCAACAAGGAAAACCACTGGCCATAGAACACAACTGAAAACTGGTGCACCCCACCTTTAAACAAATTGGTGACGCAAGATTCTTTCGTATTGATCACTAATTATGAAGATAGGATCAACTTATGTAAAATGATGAATCTTCATTGCATGCAAAAACATTACAAGTAGGAGCCTGCCACAAAATGGTGTATAGCCCATCTCGCTACAAACATGCTATTAACATAACCTCTAAATCTGTATTCACTGTCAGGAAAGTGAAAGTTCAGCTCCAACCTAATTAAGTCACTGGTCTGCCCATGTTTCTCACCCTTGCAAGCCCTGTAAAGCTCTCCCCATGGTCTGCAGGTTGTGACTTAAGAGCAACTTCAATTTATTCAGCACCTTTAACTTACCAAAATGTACCAATGCACCTCAAGAACATTATCAAAGATAAATTGACACTAAGGCACCTGAGGAGATAGTGTGACTAGTGACCAGCTTCGTCAGTGGTCGGTTTTAAGGAGCACCTTAAAGCAGGAAAGAGAGGTGGAGACGGTAGGAAGGAAATTCCAGAGCTGAGGGTTTAGTGCTGAAGGTATAACTGCCATTTGGGCAGGCTACTGTTCCATTTTTATATTGCTAAGCAAAACTACTACCCACCTCAAAATTTAGAATTCAATTGAAAAGTATTAATTCAG